TTGCTTAAACACTTTCAAAACTTCATCTTTGCTTTTTAATAAGTATATATAACAATATCTTGTACATTAATCAATAAATGTGATGACTTACTTTTCACCACCTTTAGTTCAAACAAATTTTAAGTCACATATGTCGACGTGAATTAATTCTAAATCTCACATTACCATTTGTATTAGAATTTATAGTTGGTAGTAAATTTAAATTCATTAATTTGCGTACAGAATTAAAATTTGCATATCCTAATTTTTGATATCATAAATTAGATTACTCAAGAACATAAGCAGAAGATGATACTTTATTCATAAAAATATTCCATACAATGGTGAGGATATTCATTTTAAATAACTAATTTCTTACGAATGTCTAGCTAATGAAGCACATTGTTAAGGGCGAGTTTTTTGTTCAACGTCATCTTCAATACAATTCTGCGTTATCCGTCAACCTTCAATCTTGAAGAGTTTAACACAAACAATTTCTCACCATTCATTGGATTATATGATGGGAACATTGCCTTATTAGCACAAATGTAGCTAGTAACACCCCTGTCCACATACCATTCCAAGGGATTTCCAATGTTACTGCATTATGAAACAACTGCTGACAAGGTAATATCTGATATTCCATCAAATAATGCATTAGATTCAGTAACATTCGATTGGGCTTTCTTCTTTGGTTTACGACATTTGTTGGAGCTCTGTCTGGCATTTCTACAGTTGCAGCAATTGCTCTTGAGCTTTTTTGCATTCTTGTTGTATCTTTACTTGAAGTATTCGATAGAATGCTTATTCTTTTCGTTGTTATCATTGGTTTCCACCACATTAGCATTTGCTTGTGGTATATGACTTCCATTTCACTTATCTGACTTTTTGTTGTCTTTTTCAATTCTCAATCGAATGATGAGTACTTCAATATTTATCTCCTTGCACTTGTGCTTGAAACAATTTATAAAGTCTTTTCACATGAGTGGAAGTTTCTTGATGATTGTAGCTACTCGAAAGGATTCACTTGGAGATATGTTCTTAACGTGATTGCCATGGAGAAGAACCTACAACTCTTGTACTTGACTAATAACTGTCTTGGAATCTATCATCTTGTAATCTAAGAACTTTCGAAGATGAACTTCTTTGTTTCGACAACTTCAATATTATATTTCTTCTCCAAGGATTAACAAACTCCCTTGCAGAGTTCATGGAAATATATATGTTGTACATCGTGTTTTGTCCAATCCATTCAGAATATAGTTCTTGCATAGAAAATCTAAATGCTTCCAAGCATCCAATGCGATTAATGATGCCCTATTATATTCCTCTTCTTGTTCGGTGAGAGCATTCTTATTTAGAAATTTTGCCAAAATAAGAGTTGTAAGATAAATTATCTTGTATTGCCATCTTTTGAAGTCAACTCCACTAAAATTTTCCAATTTTTCTCCATGTGGAATAGAGGTGGATGAAGGATAAATGGAACCAAAATCGAAGGAGCAACAACTAAAGTGATCGGAGTCATAACAATCGGAGTAACTAGAATAACGAACATCCATTGTATCATTATTAACGGTAGTCATTTTTGTTATACAAACTGAAGATAATCCAAACCAAGTTTAATACCATGAAAGAGTAGAAAAGTTAAACCGAAAATAAAATTCAATTTAACCAAGTATAATGAAAATTTAATAAAGAAACCACTAAAGAAAATTCATCTTAAGATTTTTGTTTGTAAATATATAGAGTGATTTCTTTATTGTAGTAATAAAACTTACAGAAACCTACCCGAATTCAAATGGAACCTGGACTGAACTTATACCGAAAGAATGAAATTCAAAAGATCGAGACAAGAGTTGAACTCTTTATCATTAAAATGAATTTGCCTCGTATAGGTGCCTACGGTAAATGGCAATCGTCTCCCAAAATTCAATGATCAAATTCTTGCGTTTGCAGCACTTCAAGATACAAGAAACAACAAATCGGACTAAGTTTTGAACTCCTTTTTGCATGAAAAAAAGAACAAGTTTTGATATAGAATTTAGGCAAGATTATCATGTTATGTAATATGCTTTGATTGCATAAAATGGGAGTGAATGAAACCAAAACATATGGGTCCGTGCCCACGAAGTGACACAACCTAAAAATCAACTTGTTTTACAAAGAGTTGCACAAGTTGATCTACTGCTTGCTTAATGCTCGATTCCACTCGAGTGTGCATTTCAGTGACTCATCGTTAGCTTGGTGCCATGCTGCTCCTCAAACGATGGTCTTATATATTGAATTTCTATTTTTAAATTCAAAATTCATGTTTTTCAACCCTACTTCATTCACTATTTCTCATTTCTAAATATACCAAACACATCTACTCGACAAGTAGAACATGATTGACCCATTTCTCATTCAATTCAAGCAGCGGGACTCATCCAAATATTTGGTTAAAATTTGATAAAGATAAACTTTCCTTAACTATTTCTCTACAAAAAAATTCTATGCTTAGTCAATTAAAATTGGGCACTCGGAGTTTCAATTAATCTAAACAGAGATATCTACCCTCTGAGACTTTAATCTAGATTAGTTTGTAGAACATGTTGTACAAAATAATTTTGGTTTTCTCTAAAATGGACTTCCGAGCTTATAGTTTTTTTCTTGATTTTCTTTGGAAAATTAAAAGCTAGACGGACTTTTGACCCATCAAGTTCCAACTCAAACAAATAAGCCAGGCATTTGAGATGCTCATGGAACCACTAAGTGTCAAGATTCTAAATAAGTGCTTGTGTGAAAGTGATTTTTTCGAGAATGTTTGATTAAAAAATAGATTAAAATTATTAATATGTGAAAATGATTTTTTTTCAATAATGGATGGTTAAAAATGAGTGAAAAAAAGTAATTTTGAAACATTAAGTTTTAACACGCTTTTTGGTGTTTTCCTCCTAAATCCTGAATACAGTGTAATTATTACTGTAGCTTTTATTTCCCACAAAATTTGACGGGAAAGTGCAGAAAATTTTGAACTAATGAGCATATGTGAATATAGCATCCATACTGGGCATTAATATTGCAACATTCATTTACTATGTAGTCAGTGTTAAGGTTCTCTTAAAATCTTCCCAAGCAAATCTTCTCCAGCAAATTCCTGTTGATATTCATCTGCTATTATGAAAAGATAAAAGAACAAGGATTTTGCTAGAAATCCCGGGCCACATTGGCCCGGGATTTCCAGGTGACAGATCCCCTGCCTATAAGGGGGACACATGTCACCCTGGAAATCCCGGGCGTATGTAGTCAGTGTTAAGGTTTCCTTTAAATCTTCCAGAGCAAATCTTCTTCAGAAAATTCCTGTTGATATTCATCTGCTATCATGAAAAGATAAAAGAACGAAAGGCATCAGTCATGATGAAAATAAATATCTAAATGAAAAGAAGAAAAATATAAGGAAAAAGATCAAAAGAAGCTCAAATTTCCTGTTTGTAGGATTCATTTTATAAAATATGACACCAATGTTCCAAGATCTTCACATCAACATCATTCTTGTGAACACATTCATCAGAAACAGATCAAGTATATCCTAGAATTTAAGCTCCTATTTGATGGGGATTAAAATTAGATTTTTAGTAGATTTTGATAAAAAAATTTGAAATGTGTGATTAAAAAGCTATGAGAACTATGATATATGTTGTCAATATTGATCGTTGGATTTTGACTTAGATTAAAATTTGATTTTAATCAATACCAAAGTAGGGCTAAGTTGTGGACAAGGGCATATGAGAATCAAACATAACTAATTTGACCGTATCAAATTAAAGGGATTCGTACAAGTTATAAACCCATTACTGCTCTCTATTGTTGGTTTTGTGATTGCAAGCAATATGGAAAAGGAGGAAGAAGAGGAAGAAAACAAAAGTTATGGTTTCCAATCACCAAGAGCTTAACTATCCTAATCAAATAATCTAATAGCAAATTCACTTAACTATCCTAATCAAATAAATAAAACTACCTTTTACCTTTAACAATATACGAAATAATATAAATACGAATATCATAAACTAACTAATTAGAGAGAGATCCAACTACAAAGAGAAAGTAGAAAAGAAACTAAAAGACCAAAAGGGAACTCAAGAGAAATATCGAATATTATTATGTAAATCACTTTAAGGAACCAAAACGATGCTACGGACAGATTTATATGCTTGCCCTTCGATGCTACTGAAAAAGTAAAATAAGCCAATAGCGGATAAACTAATTATGTCGAATACTTATAATTAGAAGATCCCTAATCAAGCACCATGTCTATCTTAGAGAAGAGAAAAATCCCATGCAACTCAAGATCGTCTACAGACAACAGTTAGAAGAGGTGATTGAAGTGAGTGCAATAAGATTCTCTGCCCTGGCATATTTTGTTTAATGATGCCTACATGCAGGAAATCTGAGCACAAATAAATTCTCCCTAGTAAATGGCATTATTAAGCCCCTATTTGTAGCAATTAAAAATTATATTTTTAGTAAATTTTTATAAAAGTAAATGAAATGCTTAATTGAAAAGTTGTTGGTCCCAGAAAATGTGATTAAAATTAATAGTTGATTTTTGACTTAGATTAAAATCTCCCAAAGATATTTACCATTATCCTTAGGTGCAGACTTTAACAACTTAAACCTGAATGCCTAATATACTAGTTTCCCGCGACAAAGCATCATCCTATATTATTTTCTTTGTTTTTTTTTATAACGATAAACACTATTATCAGGGAAATGAACAAAATGGTACATCTAATCCTCCACTCGAAACACAAGATTGAAATTTTGCAATTCCAGGCAATAATTTTCAGGCAAATGCAAATCGAAGACTCAATATATAAGTATGTAAGTTGTGTTCTCACAACACAACAGTATAAGCACAACCTCAATTAATAAAGGAAACAAAAACAATGTAAACACTAATAAATGATTATTTCAGAAGCCAAAATATACATGATATTGCATACTTAAATACAGCAGAAGGACTTTATGATTATCACCTTATATTCTACAAAGGAATGTGGAATACCATCCAAAGTGTGATAACCACCAGAATTAACGAAATCAACCAAAATCTCCTCAAACGCGTTAAAACTGATGGTTCCTGTCAATTATGAAGTGGTAACGGAAATTGAAGTTGTGAGGTTGAAATTTAAATGGAAACATGATAGTATTCCGTAGAGAATCCAGCTAAATTTTCTATTATTACACAGTTTATTTTTTATTTTTATTTTTTTTAATTCATATAAATAAATATAAGAACTACGTTAAATGTATGTCCATATTCTCACATATTTTTCAGATCTCGTTCGAAATTTTGAAAAGAAAAAAAAATTCGAATAGCAGAAAAGAAAAAATATCAGGAAGGAAAAAAAAAAGATCCGGCAAACCTCAAAAGTAGCATTATAACTCCAAATTCTTATATTGATAGCGGTGAAACGCCGAGATGCAGAGTTATCAACAGCAATTGAAGTAATCAGAGCACGGCACTTTGGGCAATTCATTGTTTTCATTATTCGACTAGTCTCACTCCACCTTAGAATGCATTCAGCTGAAAAAAAACAATAAAAGCAGAGACTCAATTGCAAAATAAACTTGTATACTAACCAGCATTTCATCAAAAACTACCACAGAACCAGTGGCCACAGTTGGTTTGGCACGGGACGATGAAGGTGGAGAGGCAAATTGGACATATTGTACCGGGAGGTGGTAGCTGGCGAAAACCTCCAAACTGATTTCCCATTTGAATTTCCGGTTCTGGTGGGAGATACCAGTAACCCGCGAAAGAGAGAGATATTTATACGGACGGAGGATTAAATAAATTACAGAAATGGTCACCAACCTTTGAGTTAATTTGAGTTATCGTCCCCAAAGTTTGCTTAATTTGAGCTCTTATACACGAAGTTAACATTAATTTGGGTTCTCGTCTCCAACCTTAGCCATTGTTTGAGCCCCATTTTTTAGGGGGTAAATATTGTTTTGAATAGTGATTTTTTTGAAGAATGTGTAACTGAAAATTAAGGAAAAGTGTTCGATTGATGTGTAAAATTATTTTATGGGAGAATTTGTAGTCGGAAATGAGTTTTTGAAAAAAATGAAAGCCAAACATTGGCTTAATTTTCAACAAAACCTTCAAAAATTAGCAGATTCCACATAAGAAGAAATCGATGGAATTCATTTATTTGAACGCCGTTGACTGTCGAAAAGTTGAGAAGAAGATTTTCGAATAAGAAAGTACAAATTAAACAAAGGATGTAAATAATTTTATTTTAGATTTAAAGGGTCAAGACTTGTATTAAAATTTTAATTGGATCACTTAACCATATACTTTAATCTTGTTTCAAAAATTACTCACATGTTCTAACCGATATTTTTACGTATATGTGACATGCATAATGTGAACATGTCAGTTAACATGGAGTAAACAGTTAAGTTGTAAGCTGATAATAAATTATTTTAAAATTAAAAACTCACTTTAAATATATGAATAATGGAATCCGGACAGGAAAATGAAATTCAAAAAAATTTCTAGGCCTTAATCACCATGGAAAAAAAAATTAAAAATCTGAATTTTCGGTCCAATTGCTATATAGCATTTCCCCCAATCGTTGTGTTTATGTTGAGTCATATTTAGTACGGCATGAATGAATACAAAAGAATAATGTTATTTATTGTAACTCGCTATCGCAATCGTCTTACATGACACGCATGTGACAGTTAGTGATTTGATATATGAAGCAAGAAAAAATTATCAAATTAGTACAACAAATCACAAACTGCTATGTAGAATGTCAAGTAAGACGACTACTGCAGTAAACGACTATGAATAGCACTATTCAATACAAAAATTGGAATGTAAGTGTAAGAGCATTTGCATCGTGTGCATTATTAAATTAAATGATATTAATGTATACTGAATAGATGGATAAACTTAAATTTTATTTTCAATAAATTACGTTTATTAACTTAAATTTTATATTTCATAGGAGAGGGAAAAAAATTAGGATAAAACTGGACGTCCAGGTGCCTATTTGGTACCCCCTCTATTGCGGGGTCATCTGATAGTGACAGGTGACCCCCCAATAGGGAGGCGCCAAATAGGCACCTAGACGTCCAAGGGCCTGGACGTCCAGCACGTCCCAAAAAATTAACACGGGAGAGAAAAAGAAAGTTTAATTTTGTTGACTCAACATGTCCAATAGAGAAGCAACATCCAGATGGACATTTTTATAATGTTTATATATTTATACACAAGCAGACTATATGTAGCAATGAATAGCTGCCACTTTCTCCTATGAAATTGAGATGTATTTTAATTCATTGGAAAATGTGTTAATAACTCCACTGCTACATTAGACGATGATGGATAAGCATGAATCAAGAAAAGCACTATTCACTTTTTATTGAGTAATGTTATTCATAGTCGCTTACTACGGTAGTTGCTTGACATGACATCCTACATGACGGTTTGTAGTTTGATGTATTAATGTAATAGTTTTGCTTGCCTCATATATCAAATCACTAATCATCACATACATCCACATAGGACGACTATAATAACGAGTAACTGCAAATAGGATTATGATATGTCAGCCACACAGTCCCACTTAAGTTGTATTAAAGAAAATTCTACAAATATTATCTATTTTACTTATTTTACAATTTTTAAAGAAATTTTCATTTGAGGCATTTTAAAAAATGTTCAATTTTAAAGGTTTGAGTTGAAAAGTGTCTACTCATTTGAATTTAGTGCCAACTTATCTATCATGCCCTTAATGAAAAAAATGGAGCAATTAAATGTAGTTCTCAACATTTGATTTATTTATTTTTTCAATTTTTCACGAATTTCGAGAAATATTTTTCGTAAAAAGGTACATTAAAATAATGTTTCTCGACATTTGAACACCGTTTCATTTGTCTAGAATAACATTTCATTTTGAATATGACATTTCTTTACATTTGAAATGTAGTTCTCAACATTTCTGAATCAATGAAAAACGTAGCATTTATTATGATTAGACATGTATGCTTTTGAAATAAATATGGCAGGTTATGAGTCAAAATTTTATTAGCCAATAATAATTTTGCAAAAATGTCCATTTTTTTGTCTTAATGTGGGATTATAAATTGTTAATAAGAGTATTTTGATCTAAATTCTTCCAAAATAGACATTTTTGCAATGGTGGACATTTTTTGCAAATGACTAGGTAAAAATGGACATCCTGTGAAATTTCTTCTTTTCATTATTGTTACACCCCTAGTTGAACCATTTCGAAAAGTTTACCACTGCATCAAACGAGGTGTCCACCACCAATTCGAAGTGGTTCCGAAGTGACTCTACCACCAATGTCCGTGCGCTGCTAACGCGTTGCGAGGTACAAAACAATTCTACTGAACCGATCGAAGTGTCCTTGACGCCGAAGCGCAATGTACTCTGAGGTTCTCCTTTAGCGGATCCGCTGCCACTTTTAGAAAGAGATCTGTGTCAAGATCCTCTCTGCCCCCAATGTTTAATTGATTTGACGTCTCCATGAGTCTAGTTGATATGACGTATCAATTTTATGTCAACCGTTGAAGTAAGACCAAGCTCATGAGCTTATTATCCTAGGTCAGAACAAGTTGATAGGATCCCCTTTTTTACGTCCCCATGTCCCTGATAATTGCGTCGTTGTGCCTGGGCTGTGAGGGCTCTCAGCCACATGGAGCCGTTGCGCCAGGTGCTAAAGCATGGGTATTTTGTATCCATTGAGCAAAAACTTCAACTCAGGAGAAGTTATTACTCGTCCACTCTATAGACGCGGCTGATTGACACCTCACACCGTCAGATGTATACACGTGTCCCACATCCAATAGTTCTCCTCACCTATAAATACCCAAGTTTTGACAAGAGATAAAGGTAATGAAACACTTACAACATAGCTCTCCATAACAAGAAAATATATATTCTCCTCCCCACTCTCTTGCACAACCCGAGCACTATTCCGATCACTGGATACTAACTTGACTGTCGGAGTGTATGCGGTCGCCACCACCCCCGCTGGTTCAGATCGTGTACGTCTGATCGTGCGTTGATTGTGCACAGGGAGGATCACGTGGAGTAACTATCGGTTGGCCACGTGGGAGGTCCAATTCGCAAGACCAATAGATTGGCGCCGTCTATGGGAAACTTCCCGTCCAAATTTCTACATTCTCCATCGAAAAAGCCACCAGAAAGCCATTAACTTACCCTGAAAGGGGCGCGTTCTTGAAAAAGAACAAAGTCGAATTACAATCCAAATTCTTTTTACCCTTGAAAAAGGAGTAGATCAGATGAGTTCCAGTAATGAGGACGCAAACCCTAGATGGACGCCTCTGAAAAAGAGGTGCTCCAAAACAATATCACTCACTAAAGACCTCATCACCGGCGTTGCCGAGATGAAAGAACAACCATGCTCACTGAAGGAATGACTCAAATAGTTGTGGGCATGAAAGATATCGCAGCTCAGAATATGACGATGCATGAATTCTTCATGCAAGCCCGAGGTCATCAGGGCTCCCAAATGCCCCAAGGATCTTACCCAGCTCGTGAAGTCCCTGCATCTTGTTCCTGAAGCCATATGAGCTAGCCCAGAGAATGCATCCTCGAAAGAGAAGTAGGTATGGAAGTCACATCCTATGTACAAGGAAGCCAACCAACAGAACCTCAATTGGGGGACAACTTCCCACCAGAATATGAAGCACAAAGGTCAGTCAGTGTCTTTGACCGAATAGGGCAGGACCATAGTAATAGGGTTCGCTCAGTGCAAAAATCAGTTCGGCAAGAGCAGGAGCAAGAAAAAGCACTCCTTCCACCTAGAAATGGGAAGGAGAGAAGGAACTTAGTTGATTGGGATAGTCGAGGAGGAGCGCCTCCACCTCCCCAGAACATGTAAAATGATAAAGGCTCCGAAGGGCCGTGTCGATCTTATAAAATTGATGATGATGATGATGATGATAATCTTCCTTTCTCAAGGGAGATCCGAAGGTTCCCAATGCCTGTGAATTTCATGCCCCTAAAATCCCCAAGTATGAAGGAAAGGGGGACATAAAAAAGCACCTCACCAAGTACATGACACAGATAAGCCTCAGGGGAGCCTCGCCTGCTTTGAAATGCAGAGCTTTCCACCAAACTCTGGCCGGAACCGTCGAAGTGTGGTACAACAGACTGCCTCCCCTGAGCATCAGGAGTTGGTCAGATCTGAAAAAGGCATTCTTGAACCAGTACCTCTCACGTAGAGAAGGAGAGGCCCCAGTGCAATGCCTACAAGATATGGAACAAACCCCTGAAGAAACGCTGAAAAGCTATCTCGCCAAGTTTACGGACGAAATCACATACTATGAACAGGTCACTGACAGAGAAACCCTTTCATCCTTGAAAGGCGGCCTCAATATGAACACTTTGTTCTGGAGGGATGTACGCAGCAAGAATCCCACCACTTATGACGAACTGGTAGAAATGATGAGAATTGAAATCGTCACTGAGGAGATAATTGATCACCAAAATCGTGCCATGTGAGGACTCCCTCCGCCTCAGAGGCAGGTAGGTCAAGGACCCACAGCGCACCTTGTCACCCAATAATGGACCCAAGCAGAGCATACAATAACTCCAACGTCTGGACAGGCACTAGCTTCTGCCACGCTAAATACAGTGCCGATATTGGCATACGAGAATACCCCTGTCGAGGCGGGACCATCTGGGGATGCTGACAGTAATCGAAAGAAGAAGAATA